GTAAAGTACTGTGATGTGCTTTTGAATGAAGCCCTGGTTTGTTCAACTCAAGGAATACAAGGGTAGCCGGAATTCAGTGCTATTCCACCTTCTCTCACATTGAAAGTGAATTTATCTGTATGTAATGCTTTGCCACCTGAGATTGGCTGTTGATAATAAGAATGTGCTGCAGTGCCCGGTGATCGATGGTCAGTTGGACTACTTGTTTGGTTTATAGACTAATGATCGTACTCCAGGAGAAACCGTCCACCCAGTAAGGGTATTGAGAATAATGTCTTGTTTCAATACCCTGGGCGATAATTCTTGCGTACTCGCAGTGGGTTGCACAATGATTCTTGTCCAGTGATAACAGAACAGGGAATTTGAATGTATTTGTCGAACCTCGTTTACCTTTCGAAATTCGATTTAACACACGGTACAGTGCTGCCAAGCGATTCAGTTCTCACGTCATTTGTTCTGTACACGACAAAATTCACCAAACAATCGGTAATTGATAAATCGAAATTTGTTTGATTGGGGCCGCCAAAGACTTGGCGAACTAGACAAGCCCCAAACAGACGGGTGTTCAAGCTTGCGGACTGAGTTGTGTGTGTATGCGCGGCTGTGAGCGCATATCAGCAAACAGGTCGTGGTTCCCACATATGCCAGTCCAGGCCCAGATCACTTGTTCCAACAGACATTAATCATGGCGAGAGAGCGCGAAACTGGAGCATTTTTAAACAAACACTGGAGTATATATAGATAACCACGCCAAACCCGTGTCAATGGACAAGAATCTCTATCTCAAACATGCGCACACCACGCACACACACACACACATACACACCGTGAGGATATCACAACAGCTATGTCAAGGTGGAAAAACGCCCTGTGATTTATCAGCTGTTTGTGTGCTTTGAGATGACATTGGCAATTAATCGTGTCTATCCCTAGATTCGTTCGCGTAAGCTCGTACACACGAACGCACGCATGCATGCACACACGCGGGCAAGCGCCAGTTTTGTGGATCCGTTTGAACTCTAGTCAGTCGCTCGGATTGACGACTGACGGGCGACAATCTAACATAGTAAGACCGTTTCTTGAGACCGCACATCTATGTGCGAGAAGTGGAACTGTATCCCCAGATGCGGTATGTATTGTTAGTAAGCTGCTCATGATTAGGTGTGTTAGGTAAACATTTGAATTTGACCAAACGAATTCCGATAAATATTTGTCAGGAAACAAGCAATATATCTAATCGGTTCTCAAATGAGCTGAACAAATATCCATATATCAAGTTAGAAATCCCAACAAAACAATTGAAAAAGGAAACATCAATGAGCTTGGGAAAAACGAAAACCCATTAAAACCTTACGGAGAAGAAGGACACGCATTATCTTGAGATTTCTGCTTTTCGTGGATGCTCGTTGTAAATCAAGAAACCTGAACAAACTTGACCGGACAACCAAGTTGTTTCCGGGTGCATGAAAACGAACGAGTACCAAAAATAGTTTAGATGCACTAAATCGAACCTATTAGGAAAAAGAAAATTATACAAAATTGTTTATCCTCCCGTTTTCGGTTGACCAATATCTTCGCAAACTTATGCATGGAAACCGGTAAATAATGATCGAATGTTTATCACATCTGAAAGTCGCCGGTAGGACCCGCAAGGACAGAGGGCTCCTGGAAGGGAGGGCGGGGGGGGGGTGGAGAATTTGATCCATATCTATTTATCATAATGATGCTTCTGTTGACCTAAGCTGCACAGATCTAATTTCATTTGCAACGTATCATTCTGCTTCGGGAAACTGATCATGCGAAAAACAGTTGTGTTCAGTTACAATGAAAACAAGTAGCACGTGGACAACGGGTTTTTCATCCTTCCTGGGACTAATCCGGACTTAAACGACAACCCTAACCGCCCGGGGATTAGACGTGGAATTCCTGATCTCCACGGGATATCACACATTTATTGAGCGACTGTGGCAACTTAGATTACTCCGTCTTTTAAATCTCTATGTGACATGTTCTCCCAAAATACACAACGTAATCAAAGACAGTACCTGGTGCCTTTAAAACCGAATGATGCAGTGTAAGTATAGTTACCATACCAAATAAATGTGATTGCTCACAAGGAATAATGAGCTATGTAGTTCTTACAATATTCGACGATCTCTTGTTATTTTTTACGACATACTGTTTTACAAATCGGTATCACGGCAAGAAAACCTATGTAGTCCGATCTACAAGAGAACTTGCGTTCACCTATGAGGAAAATGGTTTACACAAAGAAATAAGAGGAAAATTACAACAGTCAATTGTTTCATTGATGTCACTAACGATATTTGTATCTGGTACCATAGAGATATTCAAAAACTAATTGAAACTGATTTTATTTAAGATCGTCAGTTACTCATTTAGATCTGAGGAATCGGTGTTTCTTCCCACTCACTTCTTAAGTTTGATATCGTCTGCGCTACCTCCCGTAGACTGCATTGTCTACCTACCACTTGCCCCAGTTTTGAAAGGATTCCACTGTGCTTGGTAGATCTTCCAAATTCACACGCCTATCCACTGGTATAGCCTAGCAAGAATCTTGTTGACTTCACCTTGTTCACAGGCATCTAAATTTTTGCGACTGATGCACGAAACATCTGTTGTCTGCAGTCTACCACTGTCTGTACAATCGAATCTTAAAAGCTGTGTGCAATTCCAGTATCCACTGCAGGAATCTGAAATTCCCTCAGTCGACCCATTCGCTCAGTAGGATAGCATTAGTCTCTATTCGATGTGCATCGTAGCTAATAGGGTATCCATCGTTACTAATCTTTCAGTCCGCCTTTTACGCCAGCTTTACCATTTCTCTTACACACTTCTTAACTTATTGTTTTCTGACTCCATCGTAACTTGTGAATCGTGCGAATTACTCACATATTACGTTGTATAATAGGTATCCTTGACTCGACTCGGCTGGTGTTCACTTTCTATTACTCCTGGTTTCTGATCTTTGAACGATCACGTTTTCACACATGCGGTATTTACACGCATCGTGTGTTGACACAACGAATCCGTTTGGTAGTTCCTCAAACATCAATTACCAGATCAATGCATCAGGATCGTTTGACACCAAGCGGAGGCAGAAACAACAACAAAAATAACTGCAATTTCGTACCGGCATGATTTTTTCGCAATTTCCACACCACATCAGCATACTAAATCACATCAAGCTGGTACTGACAGTTTTTTCTTCTGTCCATGGTCTCATTGGTCTTTTGTTTGGATTCCGTTTGATTCCCGAAGAGGTTGAGAACAGCCGAGGGGTGAAAAATGGTCAGGAAGTTCGAATGAGGCATGAGAACCACACTGACCGAGTTTGATCGCACCACTTGAAAAACGGATTAAATTTCGGGACTTACTGAGAACTGCAAAACGAATGAGAATGTTTGCTTTTCATGCGAGATAAAAAAAAAGTTTTCATCTTTTGCGTGATACCCCAGAAGGGAAATTAAGATACACTTGTGAAGCATCTCGTTCGGAGCGGACGAATTTCCATGAATTATTCGTTTACTTCATAAACTCTAGAGAGTAAGGAATTCTTAAAAACAATGCCAGATCATTGCTATAGTGACAGATAAAAACCGTTGATTCACCAAAAACGACATTTTAGGTAGTTATTATCCTAAATGTACAGCTACTCAAATTAAAAAGCTCAATACCCAACGAAGCAACCAGTCAATAGATCAATTATCGATTTATACATTCATTGATAACGTTTTACCAACCATAAACTTTGTTTCTAGAAAAGAAAACTTCATGAGCGTTCAGCATGGGTGAAGTGAATCAAATTTGGTAAAGATCAACGAATCTTGATTGAAAGGAGTCCAACAAATTTGAAACTTATTGAATTGTTACAAAGTATTGGTGCATCCCGACTGTTCTGTTCGGAAGAATCCATTCAGCTCTCACACGGTGTATAATCATATTATTTTATGATTACCGGACTCATTCCTCGAGAGTTCATCCCCCCTCCGCGTGTGATACAAAGCATTGTCTGTAAGTTAACACACAGGGCATCAAAAAGGTGCTTCGTCCTTGTTGGAGCTGGTTAGCAATGCGTACTATTGTCTCTGTCATTGCCAAGACTCGAACCTGAATCCTTCCGGTTGGGAGCCAAAATGCATGCTCCCCCCCCCCCCCCCTCGCTGTTTTTTTGTCTTGGCTGGCAAACTTAACGT